GGTAAACGTCTTTCTACGAGGAAGAAGCCTGTTTCCGAAAGAGCTCTTTTGGAAAAAGGGGTGTGTGGACGGGGAAGAGGGATTTCTTTCAAAAGAAGAGGAAAGAGGAAAAAGCACAGGTGCCCTGGTAGCCATTCCGTCCACTGTAATCACAGCTTACATGCGAGAGAATGTCCATTCATTCACGAGGTGTAACGGTAGTTCAGAATAGGAAGCCTAGTCCGAACTACCTAGTCCGTGCCGCGTGTAGCTGCGCGGCACGGAGTCCGCACTAGCGGACATTTAAAAATGGCGGTGCCCGGTGAGATGCAAATGAAGCCCGGGAAATTCAAATCCCGGGCTTCATTTGCAACTCCGGTTGCCTACATTACCACCCTAGTTCGAACTAGGGTGGTAGTGTAGACATACCCTAAGAGAATCAATCACTGTCAGATGCAGTTACAGATGTCCTCCATGGCTGGGCAGACACCTCGACTGAAGTCAACCGCTCTATGTTGACTTACAACAGCTGAGGAGCTGGGGCTGTCATGTCTTGACACCGTTTAATCGTCACAGCATCGCATACGGTACCAAAGCAAGCGTGAGCTATTGATAAGGAAGGAAAGGGCACCACCCAAACACTTCCATTTACTTTTCAAACTTTGCCTCTTACCTACATTTTAAAGCATTTGAACGAATCGTTTGAGCTGCGATTTTCAAGCCTGTTTGCAGGATTTGAGCCCCCGCCCCCAACACTGTTCATTTTAACTAGGACAAAGCACTCCAATCCAGGGGTTGACTTGGAAATTTGCAGCCTTGCTACATTTCTGCCAGGGAGAACCTGGACTAAATCAGCCTCAGGAACTAGCCTTTCAAAGTAACCGATCTACATTTCTTCTCCGCACGGGAAGCCGTCTTTCCGCAGCTGGGCTCCGACGAGTTCCCGCTGGGATTCATGTGGTTCCACGTGTGGAGGCCTCTCTTTTCCGCCTCCTCAGTGAAACTTTTCACCGCGCTCATTTCAAGGATGATTGGGGGCCACAACAGCTCCACCCCACATGGTTCAGATCCATGGACACCAGCATGGAAGGAGGGATGGTCTGTGCCCTTCCCCATCCCAGCAGTGGGAGAGTGCAGGGAGATGACTCAGCTGGAGAAGTCACTTCCTGCTCCGAAGAAAAGAGATGAAAATAAAATGGGATTGTTTCCCTGAAAGGGGAAATATTAATGAGGCTCCAGAGTCACAGGGCCAGCTGCTCTGCTGATGGAAATGGCGTTTTACGCTGCCGGAGGAACCCACAAATGGATCCCTGTGGATCCAGGAGTTTCTGAGCCATATTTAGGGTGGAAATGAATTAAGGGCTAAAAAATGGGGCCCAAACCCATCCCTATTGGTAGAGGATGGTGGGAGGAGTTCTTAGAGGGGTTACATGACACCCTTTACTTCTAGTCATGTGTTCATCTTGACCCAGGAAGTGCTACTCCAGGGGTGGGACTTCCTGTGGCAGGTGGGTGGGGCCTAAGGGGTCAGCGGTATGGCTAGTAGGGTTGCCAGGTGTCCGGTATTAACCCAGACAGTCCGGTATTTTCGCCTCCTGTCCGGTAAAAAAAGTCAGAAAATACTGGACACCTAAAATCTCCGGTGTTTTCTGGTTTTTTTTTTCCCGGACAGGAGGTGAAAATCCCAGGTGCTTACCTGGTTCCGCAGGGGAGCTGTCCAGCCCAGAGCAGAAAGAGAAGCTGGCGGATGGCCAGCGGCAGCCTGCTAGGGCCAAAAAGCTTCAAAAGCATTTCTTAAAGGGGCCATATTGATTTTTTTTAAAATTTTTTGTTTTGTTTTGTTTAATAATTCTCAGGGTCTTTTTTTTTTTTTCCCTCAACAGAATTTTTTCCGCGGTGTTTTTTTGGGGGGGATGAAGGGAGGGTGTTTGGTATTTTTTTGATTAAACCATCTGGCAACCCTATTGGCTAGTGGTTTTAGGGGGTATGGCTAAGATGTTCCTATTTTTGGTTCAGAAAATATGGTCACCATAGGCATAATCCATGTTGCCAAAGCCCAAGCAGAGCCACTCCTAGGCTACATCTACACTGCAACACTATTTCGGGATACTGGAGTATCCCGCGATAGCTATCCCGCGTCTTCACGGCAAGCCCGTTATTTCGGGCTCGCTATTCCGACATCCCTGTAAACCTCATTCCACGAGGAAAATCAGTCGGGGCCGCACACAAGTGAGCAGCAAAAAACAAAAACAAACAACAACAACAAACACCCCAAATCCTCACTGATGTGGCCCCGGAGTGAGGAGACAGACCCTTGGTAACATTTTTAAGTTGTTCTATTTAACCTCCTTGTTGCTGGCATTTCATGGCTTTCTAAGTAATCTTGCAAGGTAATAAATACATTTTAATAATTCATTATTTATAGATCTAAGAAAAAACACAGACCCTACCCACATCCTGTTCACACACCAGAGCCTGGGGGGACCCTGGCTAGTAGATTTTGTCTGCTCCAGGCTCCCTGGTGCTGGGAGGGGGAGCCCTGAGTTTCGGGGGCTGGATTCAGACAAGCTGGGGGTGCATCCCTCACCCCTCCGCTATGCAACTTCACTGAATTACCACCAAGCTTTGGGGGAGGGAATGAAACATCACCCATCCCCAATTTATTCCCTAGCTGTCCACTATGGAGACTCCAGTAGCTTTCCCCTGAAGCAGCTAGTCATGGCCACAGTCACAGAGTGGATACTAGAAAGATCACAGGTCTGGCTGCTCTAGGCCAGGGCACAACTAGGCTGGAAGGCCCAGATCTCTGATTTCAGTGGGCGTTAGGAGCCAAGCAACCCTGCGGAATGCGGGCCAGAGTGAACCAGTCTTCTCCTGGCCCCTAGCAATGTGTGTGCCAGGCTGCTGTTCCGCTAGTCATGGCCACAGTCACAGAGTGGATACTAGAAAGATCACAGGTCTGGCTGCTCTAGGCCAGGGCACAACTAGGCTGGAAGGCCCAGATCTCTGATTTCAGTGGGCGTTAGGAGCCAAGCAACCCTGCGGAATGCGGGCCAGAGTGAACCAGTCTTCTCCTGGCCCCTAGCAATGTGTGTGCCAGGCTGCTGTTCCCCTGCTTCGGCAGCTTGGATCAATTTAAGGGAAGAAAACCCAGCCTCCAGCCAGCGTGCCCACTGGACTCGAATTAGATCCATCTGTGGCAGACCCAGCAAAAGGCTAAGTGCTCCAGCCTGCATGGATCATGGCTCCAAACAGGCTCCCCCATTTCCTCGTGTTGTGACCTGTGGGAGTTGCGGCAGCGAGGAGAATTGCTCATTTGTGGGGGAACGTCAGCCGTTCTCGCTGCAGCTGCCACAATCCCATGGAAAAGGAGGGGGCTGGCGAAGAAACGAATGTTCCCTTCCGAAGCCTATGAGCGGTGGTTATGCGCTGCTGGATAATCACCCTTGGGCTGAGACGCCGGCGTTAGCCTTTCGCACGCTGCAGGGATGCGTGGGGAGAACATGCTGCCATCACCCTCAGCCTGACTGGCAAAGAGCCCTGGTCTAAGAATTTCCTTGTAACTCTCTGGGAGTTTTCAATAACAGGGAAACAGCAAATCCCACCGAGAAAATCGTCAGCATTGGACCCTGCGACCAATGTTCTTTCCTTTTTCCCGTCCATGGGCGGACTACATTTTGTTATGTGCACCCAGGCATGTGCAGAAGTGCACCACCAATAGAAACACAGGCTGCCAGCTGTGAGAAGCTGTGTGTGCCCTGCCGGTCAGCTGAGAGCACCTGAATCTCTCCTGGGCAGCCACCCAAGTGCTCAGCTTGCAGGGAACACTGCCCACGACTCTTTCCTGGCACAGCGCTTGTTGACTCAGAGGCAGAATCAGACTCTACTTGCAGTGAATGCCCTTGGGCAGCTTGTTTGACTGCTCTGTGCCTCAGTTTCCCCAGCTCTCCTTTGTAGAGGGCTTTGAGCTCTCCTGTTCCTTCCTTCCTCCTGATGCTTGCCTCATGACGTGATGGGCAAAGAGCAGTGTGAACACCCTTCCGTGGCCCGGGCGAAAGACCTAACCTACCAGTTGGCTATTGAGCAACTGCATCTTTCGAGGATCTCTGGGGTCAAATCACAGCTGCTGCTCAGCTGCCCACAACAGAGCTCAGGATCTTTTCCGCCGCAGCAGCAGTTCATTTGGATCACCTCCGTTGCTGACACCTTGGAGCAGAAACGTTTAGCCCCTGCGCCCCCGCTCCAGAAATGGAAGGGGTCAGGGCACTCGCCTGGGATTCAGTAGACTCTCGACTCTCTTCGGCCACTGGCCTCCTGTGTGACCTGGAACAGTTAAGTCTCTCTCCCCATCTCTCGAGGGGTCGTGAGACTCAATCCATGCCAGACCAGGAGGTTCTCAGATCATGCGCGACCAGTATGCTAGGTGGGGCAAACCACCCGACTGGCCTACGGATGTTAAATATCCGTCGACTGAATAATGGATTAGCCTGATGAATTCTTATTGGTTACTCAACTATTCTATCATTCCTGGGGGTGGGGCCGGCAGGCAGTGCGCTCCATCGCCACTCCGTACTGCTGCCTCTGTATCAGAGGTAGCAGTGCAGGGGGCCCGGTGGGAGCTGGTCCGCGAGGGGAACCAGGTGAAAAAACAGCTGCCTGTCGCCCTGTGCTGTTGCCTCTGATACAGAGGCAGTAGGGTGGGGTGGCAGCAGCTCCTGTCCGAGGAGGCTGAGCAAATCGACCCCGGACAAGCCAGGACTAAGCCGGGCCGCCTGCCGCCTGGCTCCTAATACACGTTAATTGCAGAGCTGCAGGGTGGGTAGGTCCTGGACACAGTGGGAGCCAGGACTGAGCCATGCTGCTGGCCAGCCTGCTATCCTATTTTAAATAGAAAGGTGGGGGTAAAAATATTTAAATAAATAAATAAATTACTGGCGGAGGGGAGGGGGGAGAAATGCGTGTAGTCTACAGCATTAACCGATAAGCTCATCGGTTAATCGATTATATTATTACATCCCTAGAAACGCTCCGGGCTATGAAGAAGGCCAAATGGACTAAACCAGTGGTTCCCAACCTGTGGTCCGCAACAGTGCTGCAGGGGGTCGGTGGAAAGTTTAAAAGTAAGGATCCTTTCTTTTCCTTTTCTTTTCCTTTTCTTCCCCAGGGAGAAGTCCATGAAATTTTAACAGAGTGATAATTGGTCCATACCCTCAAAGGTTGGGAACCACCAGACTAAACGCAGGATCTCTACTACCACTAGTGACTAGGGTTGCCAGGTATCCGGTATTGTGTCTTCTGACTGGTAAAAAAAAGCAGAAAATACATGTAAACTATTGGACGGAAGGACGCAGGGGCCACTCTTCTCCTGCTGCTGTGTCTGATGGAGGTGTGGGGAGTGTGGGGATTTAAAGGCGCAGAGACTATTTTTTTTATGTGCCTTTTTTTTTGTTCGTTTGTTTCAACAACCTTTTTTTTTCTTTGCTCAACCAATTTTTTCCTCACCATGTTTAATGAAACTACCTGGCAACCCTACTGGTGACCCAAAGTTGTGGTCATCCAATAGCTCTTTAGTTGTCTACCGAATATGTGTTGGTCGTATTCTGTGATTTTATTACTGCCACATGTCATGGCCAGATTGGCGTGTATAACGGGCAGCAAATACTACTCTGCCCAGCAGCATTTATCCAACAAACATGCCTGTGGTGAACAACACAAACACATCTCCACTAGAAATCTACCCAACCTCCCCCCACCCTGGGACGTGAACCGGGCAAACAACTAGCAGATGACTTCCCTAGAAATGGGGTAGGTTAAAGCATCCCTGTCATGTGCGGTGGGTGACCCCCATGGCTTGGGGAGGCAAAACCCCAGCCCCGGCTTTGCCCATCAGAGCCCATGCTCCCCCCACACACTGTGGCCTGCTGGTCCCTGCTCAGCCTCCTCTCCCCAACCTGCATTGTGGCTGTGGCTCTTGCCCCTCCCTGCCCCAGGGTGGCACCCCCCAACTTCCCCAGCTCTGGAGAACTGGCCAGCAGGCGTGGCACAGGGCTGGGGCTGGGTGAGGCACTTTGGGAAGGCAAGCCACCCACGATCCCTGCTTGTGCTTCCAGCTGTTTCCCACAGCTCCCGCCTGACTTGTGCCTTGACAGGAGTGAGTCCGACTCAGCGAGCTGTCTGGCCTCGGTTGTAGGCGACATACAGTTATACTGTGGGGCCAGCCAGGCAGGGGTCCTGACTCGGAGCAGGATCCTTTGGCCCAATCCCGATGCTCACAACAAAAATAGACAAAAGCAACGAGGAGTCCTGTGGCCACTTAAAGACCAACAAACTTTTGGGGGCACAAGCCGCCTCATTGTTTTGGCTGAAACGGGCCCACACAGCGACCCCTCTGAAAAAACAGCCTGTGCCCCATAGCTTACAAACAAAAGCCCTGCTTCTGGGGGTGCTGGAACCATTTGTATGGTAGGGGTGGAAACCACTCTAAATCAGGGGGTGCTGCAGCCCTCCTTCCCGCATCCCCAGGTTCAGCAACTGAGCCCGCTTCAGGGAGAAACGGTAAAGAATATGCTAAGCCACCAATATTGCGGTAGCCAGTGGAACATAAGCATGTGCTTAAATCAGTGGTTCTCAACTCGTTTCAGTCCACAGACCACCAGGCCACCTCCTTTTTGAGACATGATAAAAAAGAGCAGACAACAAGGCGTAAAACAGCCTAACGGCTGCGCCTGCTCACGCCGTGTGACTTTGGATAATGTTCCTGTGGACCACTGAAAAATCACCATGGACCACCAGTTGAGAACCACAGGCTTAAATGCTTTCCTGGAGTGGCACGCTTCTCCGAGTCAGGGCCTATGTCTTCATGCAGGGCGCAATGAACCAGTGGAACTCCTTGCCAGAGGATGTTGTGAAGGCCAGGATTTTAATGGGGTTCAAAAAAGAGCTAGATAAAGAGCTAGGTCCATCAATAGCTATTAGCCAGGGTAGGTAGGAATGGTGACCCAAGCCTCCGTTTGTCGGGAGATGGAAATGGCTAACGGGGGTGGGGTCATGCGATGATTCCCGGTTCTGTTCATTCCCTTTGGGGCACCTGGCATTGGCCGCTGCCAGCAGACAGGACACTGGGCTAGATGGACCTGAGGTCTGACTCAGTGTGGCCGTTCTTATGTCTCTGATAACGTGAAATAGAAACAACTGGGGAAGTCACTCAGGGCCACCATCTGGGTCGGTGCGCGCACAATTCAGATGTATGTGGGGGAGGGGCACCAGGTCGAAAGTCTAGGTTGAAACTGTGCTTTTGGTGGCAAAACTCGCTCAGGGTTCAGTAGCCCCAGGATTGCCCCCCGAGGCTTTAAGTTAGGAAATCCAGCCCCCTCCCCCTGTGCTTCACTTGCTGCCCTGGGTGGGGACATGGGTCAGGGACTTAACCCCCTGAGCTCCCTGCATTGGCTCCAGCTTGGCTGGGGGACAGGGCCTTGGGGGGGAAAGGAGGGGCAGGGACCTCATGCCCCCCTGTCACGTTATTGGATTTTAAAGAGAGCAGCCAGATCTCTGCTATGCCCGGGGGGGGGGAGGGTTGCCCCAAAGTCTGTACAAAGGGGGCCATGTGAGGTGTCAAACGAAAGCTGATGCTGTGCTGAGTCTATTTATGCTCCTCACGTGCTTGTGTGATGCTTGTCTGTGGCGTGATGAATCTGGGCTGGTACTGGGAATGGTCTATGGCTGAGACAGAGCAGTGGGCCTGAGCTGCCTGTTGTAAAGAAGGAATGTTTGGTGAATGGCTGGGCTACCTAGCACGGCTCCGGGGACAATGGCACCTGTCTGGAAACCTGCAGACCAGTCAGTACCTCATGGCTGCCGGCATGTGAAACAGGCCACCATGCGACCTGCTCCAGCTTGGGAGACACCAGGAATGAATATCAAGGGGCCATGAGGCGGTTTCCATCTTGTCTCCAATTTGGCTACTGATCCCAGATGCAGCCTTGTGAGGGACAGAGAGCCGGGAAGGACTGCTGACCCATCCTGACATAGGATGTACACCCAAGACTTTTAAGCTGGCAGTAACATCTCTGCTCAGAGCCTGCATCAAGAACTTGGTGACTGATCATAGAAGCATAGAATCATAGGACTGGAAGGGACCTCGAGAGGTCATCGAGTCCAGCCCCCTGCCCTCAAGGCAGGAATGTATGTATGTGACATATTCTCCTTAGCAACCTCACTCTCAAGCTTTTCTTTCTTTTATGAATAAACCTTTAGATTTTAGCTGCTAAAGGATTGACCCAGCGTGAGCTTGTGGGTAAGATCCAAAGCGTAAACTGACCGAGGAATTGTGGCTGGTTCTTTGGGACTGGGAGGATCTGTTCGGGGTTGGTGAGATTGGGTTCTGTAACCCCTAACCTGTGTGTAGGCCTGGGGCGGATTGTGGCACAGGGAGAGCTGGAGTGCCGGAGGGGTTTTGCTCATGAAGCTTCCTGCTGGCCAGATTGGCAGCTGAAGTGCTTGGTGTGGCTGGTTTGTGGCCTATTTGGGAAAGGTCTCCAGTCGAGGGCTGTAAGTAGCCCTGGTTTGGAGCAATTTGCCCTGAGCTGACGCCCTCAGCGGTGCCCACACCCGGTCTGGTCCATCCCCCCCCCATTAGGAAGACTCTGTCACCCCTGTTCTGATCCTTGTAGTAGCACAATGCAACCCAAACCAGCCTGGTCTCACCACAGTCCTTAAACTGTAATGTGTGTGTTGCGTATTTCTTCACACAGTACATAGTCAACCTGTGGAACTCCTTGCCAGAGGATGTTGTGAAGACCAGGACTTTAACAGAGTTCAAAAAAGAACTAAACAAATTCATGGAGGTTAGGTCCAGCAATACTTATTAGCCAGGATGGGTAGGAACAGTGTCCCTAGACTCTGTTTGTCAGACGCTGGAAATGGATGACAGGAGAAGGATCACGTGTTGATTCCCTGTTCTGTTCACCCCCTTCTGGGGCAGCTGGCATTGGCCACTTTCAGAAGACAGGACAGTGGCCTAGATGGACCTTTGGTCTGACCTAGTCTGGCCGCTCTTATGTTCTAAGATGCAGAACATAAAACAGGAGCACAACGAGACAGTCACTTGGAATCAGCCTTTGTCTTCAAAACGTCCCAGGAGCAATCAGCGTTTCCTGTTTCTTTTCTTAGCTCCTTGTGGTGCACTTTCTAATCAACTCTCCAAGGGCTGTGTGGGGATTTCCTGTCCACGCTGCAGCCCCATAAACTCTCTCACACTCTCCAGCTGATGGACTCTAGCTGGAGTTTTCCCTCCGTGGTTCCAGGGCGCATGGTTAATTAGGGCCGGCTGTTCGGCTTTATAGGTGCCAGCGGCGCTTACAGACAGATACAGAGGCCCCTGCCCAGAGTAGCTTACACTATGTGGGGCCGGCCCTAGACAAATGGTGAGCTAGGCAAGGAGTGCCATTCACACCTTCCATCTGTTACATTTTGAATACCTTCTTCCTTAGTGCTGCCCAATGCCCCCCAGGCCTTAGTGCTGCCCAATGCCCCCCCAGGCCCTGGTGGTCACCTGGCTCGCTGGCCCTGTTCCCAGGCCAGAAGTGCCGAGCAGGGCCACTGCCCCTTATTGCAGACCGCACCGTTAAATCCCGTGGGTTCTGAGATCCTGGTACTGGAGCAGGACTCAGGAGAGCCAAAGTCAATCCTCTTTGACCTTGGGCAAGTCTCTTACTCCTGCGCCGGAGAGGTGAGGTTGTGGTCATTTACTGTATGTCCACACTGCTCTCATTTGCATAGTCTCTTCTGATCCGTTTTTTTTTGCACAAAAACCCCACAGGCTGTGTCTAGACTGGCCAGTTTTTCCAGAAAATCAGCCACTTTTCCGGAAAAACTTGCCGGCTGTCTACACTGGCCGCCTGATTTGCCGAAAAAGCAATGACGATCTCATGTAAAATCATCAGTGCTTTTCTGGAAAAACTATGCTGCTCCCATTCGGGCAAAAGTCTTTTTCCGGAACACTGTTCCGGAAAAGGGCCAGTGTAGACAGCACAGTAGTGTTTGCCGCAAAAAAGCCCTGATCGCGAAAATGGCAATCGGGGCTTTTTTGCGGAAAACCACATCTAGATTGGCCACGGACGCTTTTCCGCAAAAAGTGCTTTTGCAGAAAAGTGGCTTCTGTGCCAATCTAGACGCTCTGTTCTGAAAATGCTTTTAACGGAAAACTTTTCCGTTAAAAGCATTTCCGGAAAATCATGCCAATCTAGACGCAGCCACAGTGTAGACGGGGCAAAAACCTCTTTTGCGCAAGATCCTGTATTCCTGCTTTTCTGAGGCCCCGTCTACACTGTGGTTTTTTCTGCAAAAACCTCTTCCGCAAAATGATGCAAATGAGAGCGCAAGAACTGCTAACGAGCGCTTCATTTGCATCGCCTCTGCTGACAAAGGCTGCAGCGTAGCCATAGCCTTAGGCCCGGGCATGGTACGGCCTCCCCCCCGGCCTTAACCCCCCATTCTGCCAGCCACGGCCCAGTTCTAACCCGGTGGCCGGTGAGGTGCAGGGGGGCCTGCCCACCCCACGTGGAGCACTGTGTAGCGCAGGTGGTGCCGTGTGCATTGGCTACTGTGCTGTGTTTCTTGGCGTTGAAAGCTCGGTGGAGGGGGGTGGAAGGGGAGTAGGGGTTTGCTTTCAAATAGCAATTCCGAGTGGGGAGGGGCGGCAGCGAGGTTGGGCTCAAGCCAGGAGAGGGAGGAGGCAGGCGGGATGCAGGGTGATGTGATGACATCACTCTGTCGTCCTGCGGGAAAAACTTTTTTTAATAGAGAGATGAGCTTTCGTGGGCAAAACCCACTTCCGCAGATGAGATGACCTCGAGTGGAGAGAAACGGGGAGGCAATTACAGAAAACATCTGCTGTCGCCTGCCCTGAACGCCATTAAATCTGGGTCCAGCTGGATTCCTTCTGGGAAGTGCGGAATGGTGAATGGCGGACAATGTAACAAACTAAGGGATTTTGTGGGAACTCCCCAGAATAAGCCCTGGGTGAAACAAACCCGCCCCCCCCAAACTGTGCTTACAATGATGTGTGTGGAAAGGCACAAAACAGGGGCTGATCATTTGTGGGGTTTACCCCCCGCAAATCAGTAGGTGGGGAAGCGTCCATGGCCACTCCAGACTTCAAAAGCTTCAGCGGGGTAGCCGGGTTAGTCTGTTTCATCTGAAGAAGTGGGTTGTGCCCACGAAAGCTCATGAGACCATCTACATGTTTTGTTAGTCTCTCAGGTGCTGCAGGACTATTCGTTGTTTTTTAAGTTTTTCCGAGACTTCAAAGTGAGGCAAGGCAGCAAACGGGGAGCCGACTGGGAACACAGTCTGGCTGCGTCTAGATTGGCATGATTTTCTGGAAGTGCTTTCAACAGAAAAGCGTCTAGATTGGCACGGACGCTTTACCACAAAAAAGCCACAATGGCCATTTTCGCAATCGGGGCTTTTTTGCGGAAAACAAATCTGAGCTGTCTACACTGGCCCTTTTGTGCAAAAGTTTTGCGCAAAAGGGACTTTTGCCTGAACGGGAGCAGAATAGTATTTCCGCAAGAAGCACTGATTTCTTACAGTAGGAAGTCAGTGCTTTTGCAGAAATTCAAGCGGCCAGTGTAGACAGCTGGCAAGTTTTTCCGGAAAAGCGGCTGATTTTCTGGAAAAACTGGCCAGTCTAGACACAGCCTCAGAGTGCGGACTAGCCACAGCAGGGATGGATCCGCAGGGTGCTAGGTTAACACCGCCCATGGGTGTTCTGTTTCTGCCCAATGCACAAGCTTAGTAGCTGCCCTGAATGGTTTCATGGCTGTTAAAAATCCGTGATGTTCCCTTTGGGGTGCAAAAAAAGGTGCTCAGCTCTGTGTCTGCCTTTCAGGACCAAACTGAAGGAACCCACCCTGCGGATAACAAGCATGTCTCTCTGTCTCTCGGTTAAAGGCAGAACAACCCAAACAATCAAAGCCCGGCAAACAAAGACTCTGGTGTTAGCTACTGGAAATAATCCACACCCCAGAGCCGGCTGGCCTGCCTCGGGTTATTAAGTCCAACAACCAAAAATTCCTTCCACATGCCCCTCCCTTCTCCCTCCAGCACACCTCTCTCCCAGCTGTTATCTTTGGTCAGGAAAGCCCCAGGGTTCAGAAGTGCCTTGGTGGGAGTTCACATCTCCTGGGGGGAGGAAGGGTGAAAAAGGAAGCTTGCTTGCTCCTCCAAGCACTCCCGTTGTGCCACCAGCCACCCCGCCAGAGAAGCTCCAGTAGGTTTAGGACACACATGCCTGGTAAATGATCAGACCAAGATTTTCAGAAGTGGCTAGTGAGACTGGCTGCCTCCATTTTTCCAGACCCTTCTTTGGCAAATCTGGCTCCTTTAATGGGGGCTCCACGTGGGCACCCCAAAGTGGAGGCCCCCAGGATCACTCGCCCCTGGTGAAAGTCGTGGCTGTCCTGGGTGGCTGGCGTGCCTTCTCGGTCTGTCTGCATCCCCGCTGGGACCTGCCGGAAGGGAGTCTCAGGGAAGGCCAGGGGTGAGGTGTCTGCAAAGCCCCAGCATAAAATTTCAGTCTCATCAACCCAGCGTGGGGGTGTTTCCTTGGCAGCTGGCCAAGAGACCTGCCCGGCCTTCCTCCAAGCCTGGCAGCCTCCCATGGCCTGGCGGCGGTGGAGCCAAACTACGCTCAAATCAATGCAGTGGCCAAACCCGCCAAGGGCGGGCTCGGAATTTCCAGCCCTGTGCGGAATACCGTGTCTCAGTGCACGGGTGCATGCGCACCACCCGGAGAGACACAAACCCGGCTGGGGGGGGCTCAGCTTCCAGGGAATCAGGCCGGGCCAAAGAGTTTGCGGGGGGCTGTGGGCTTGGGGGGCTCCCAGCCAGGCAGGCACCCCACGGCCCTCGCCTTGCCCTAAGGGCCTGCAGGGGGGCAGCCCCCCCGAGGGCTCCCCTGGAACTGGGGGCTGACTCAGCCCCTCCCCAGCCCGGGGGCGGGGCAGCCACAGCCCCACGCAGGGAGGGGCGCAGGGC